ATACGCCTGTGTGTTTCACGCAGTTGTATTTTTAAACACCTGTGTGTTTCACGCAGTTACATTTTTATACGCCTGTGTGTTTCACCCAGTTGTATTTTTATACACCGGTGTGTTTCACGTAGTCGTATTCAGATACTCCTGTGTATTTCACACTCCTGTGTGTATAAACAGGTGTATAAAACTTCAACTGCGTGAAACACACAGGCGTATCAAAATTCAACTGCGTGAAACACACAGGTGTACAAAAATACAACTGCGTGAAACACACAGTAGTATGAAATTTTAACTGCGTGAAACACACAGTAGTATGAAACTTCAACTGCGTGAAATACACAGCAGTATGAAAATTCGGCTGCGTGAAACACACAAACTTCACGCATGCGTGGAGTGTATGGAGTGTACGGGAGTGATTCACGCAATGGTGCGAATAGTCACGGCCTTATTTTATTTCATCTAATAATTTTAATGGGATTGATTGAGTCTAGAGTGCTCCGATAATTATTTCGCTTTATTTTTATTATTAGTTATTAATTATAATTAATTAATAATTAATTAATAAAAGCAAATTATTTATTACAAAAGTTTGACACGGACGATAATTTTCATATTGGGCAATTTTTATTTATCTTTTCCGATTTTTAGAGATTCATTTAGATTTATTTAGATTTATTTATTTAGAGTTCAATCTTCTCCTTAACCCCGAAAATTTCATTTTCTCATAGGACTTCTAGATTAATTATTACCAATAATACTAGACTAATTCAATCTTCAAAAATCAGTCGTCTCTATAACGAGACTCCCGCTCGACAATGAAACTGTGCGATTGAGTGTCAGAAAATTTGGCGACGCAGCCGGGAAAATTCAAGTTATATTTACCCTCCTTCAAGAGTTTCCACAAATGTCACAATAAGGATCACAAGGGTCAACCGAGATCATCAAATGTTTCAGAGTTTCCGACTTTTCCGCCGAAAACACGCAATTTACCAATAAATTCAGTAGCGAAGTGGTAAAACGATTCAAGTCAACTCATCTCTCAGCTGACTTTTCGAGGAATATCTCCAAATCTAAGGGAGATAGCGAAATTTTCGTCTCTATCTTTTTTGCAGCTCTCAATTCGCTCTACAGAAAAGGTCATAACAAAAATTTAGCTATCTGCCTTGGATTACGAGATATTCATTGAAAACTGAGGAATAGTCAAAATCAACTTGAACCGTTTTACCACTTCGCTGCTGAATTTTGCCCGGTCTCCTATTTTGCCCCAGGATTTCATTATTTTTGCTCAACACAATGTTCAAGAGAGACAACAACCTCCCAATAATGACTTCCATTTAACTATTTACTCGTGATTAATCACGATGATCAGCGATTTTATGAATTGAGCACTGAATGACGCAACTCAAGAATAAGATAAAAAAGTTCTTCCCATAATTGTCGAGGAGGTATTGTACACGTGTGCCCAATTCACAGCGGTTATCCATCCTTGCTCATGCATCATGACCGCCGAGGCCTCAGTCATGTAGTGAAGCGACAGAGTTGGTCCGAGAGCCTTGTCCTCTTTTTGTAACGAAATATTGTGAATGATGAAGACGTATGGGACAATCACAGGTACATGCCTCACAGGATTTCTTGGGCAATACGTTGGCGGCATTTCCGGTTTTACTGAGTGATTGTCAGGATTATAACACGAAACAAATACACCTGAATTTGAATCAGGTATATTTTATACTCAATTGGGGGATGGGTATTTCAATTCAGTAGCGAAGCGGTAAACCGTGTCAAGTCGATTTTGACTTTCGGCCAGTTTTTGATGAATATCTCGAAATCTAAGAGAGATAGCAAAATTTTTCTCATAACCTTTTCCATAAGCCTTGACTGGCTCTACAAAAAAGGTCATATCGAAAATTTTTCTATCTCTCGTAGATTCCGAGATATTCGCCAAAAACTGGCCAATAGTTAAAATCGACTTGACCCGGTTTACCGCTTCGCTACTGAATTCGAAGGTGATTCTTTTGCATCAGGCCGGGTTGCAGCAAGCTCTCTTAAGTGTAATATAAGGGTCAGGCACTGAGTGTCAGAATATAAGGGTCAAAAAGTGGAGGTTAAAAAATGAGGGTCGGAATATTAGGGTCAAAACATCAGGGGGTCTGAATATAAATCATATATTATGCTTGATCACCGTTTTTAACCCTTATATAACCCTCATTGCCTGACACCCACTTTTTTTACTTTTATATTCTGAATTTTTTTATCCTAATATTCTGACCCTCTTTTTTTAACCCTAACATTCTGACCCTCATTCCTTCACCTTTACATTCAGGCCCTCATTTTTTCACTCTAATATTCCGACCCTCATTTTTTAACCTCCACTTTTTGACCCTTACATTCTCACACTCAGTGTCTGACCCTTATATTACACTTGAGGGCGCTTGGTACAACCCGGCCTGATTCGAAATAATCATCCTCGAATCGAAACACCCATCCCCCATTCGAGTATTAACCCTAGTTTGGTCACCACATGAGAACGTGCGACTTTGGTCACCTCCGCAGGGAATCGCCGCCGTGTTATTTAGGCCCGGGCGTTGCCGAATTCACTCTACACTGCCCGGGCGCGTTTAGCGAGAATTCGGCAACGTCGCACAACGGGCAATTTCATTTAACATGGGAAAAAATTGCCCGTCTGTTAGAAATGATTTTTTTCTTCAGCAATTGTGGATATAAATAATTTAAAAAAATATAATTTTCTAGACACTTGAATTGACGCATTCCAATTTTTTAGGATTTTTCCGCTCAGCCAGTCAATGGTAAGAAAAAAAAATCGACTTTCTGCGGCGTTTCCCTCCTATGGTGACCAAACTAGGGTTAAATATACTTGAATCAAGTATACTCAATACTCAATTCAATTATATTTTTTTTCCTGTGAATAAATTTCCAATCTCAGAATTCTGTTTTTTACGTTTGATTTTATTACAGAACAGAAAGAGTTCTGCGTAAAAATTGAATTATCTCGATAATGAGTGGGTTGAGGAGAAAATGTCACAAGATATTTCTCGTAGGGAATTTAATTCTTTGAAAAAATGTTTTTCGACATTTTTCTCTGAAAGCACTGGTTCCTGAATTAAAATCAGGATTAACAAACTCCTCTCCAGTTAATACACAATTAATAATTTTATCAACAAGAGTGAAATGTTAATGCTAAAGCGAATTATTGAAAAAAGTTTCTGAAGGAATGAACAATAAATAGTTGTTCGTGAAATGGACCAGATATTTTCAGCTGAGAAAATCAAAATTAACTATTACTTCCTTCTCTCTACGCAGAAATTCAATTCTCCACACAAAAATCCCTGTGTAAAATCAACAATAAATAATCATTTATGAAACAAACAGGATAAATATCAACTAAAAAATTGAAAACTAGCTATAAATTTTCAATTTTTGTACTTATTCTTCACATTTATCTTTATCAAATAGAAAAATTCTATTCTCTCCCTAAAAATCTCTTAAAATTAATAAACTTTTCTTAAATTCCACGAGTTCCTATCACGAAATAATCGAAAATTCCCGCGAAGAAATCAACAACAAACAATTATTCATGAACCTAAAAAAACTAGAACAACTTCCCACTGTCTTTTACTTCAACTACACCTCAAAATGTTAAATAATTCATGCCAACAAATTCCCCGCTCCGTATTGTGTACATAGTTAATGAATTTGAGTTGATGCAACGTGTCACCTACTCCCCCAGCCCTCCACAAGCCAGCTTTCACCGGGTGGCATGTCCCCCCCAACTTCTCCAATCAAGAAATTTTCTAAATCCTCTTAAAGCAGTTGTACAATTTTCACGGTGTCATGTTGATTAACGGATAAATATCAACTGGCATTGATAATAAACTCGATTGAGTGCTAAATGCCCTAAAGGAGTAACAATTTCCGACAAGGCCGAATAACTCACGTGACAAGGACACATTTCCGTTCACCGGAGTATTTTCCCCTCGAGACGAAACTCTCCTGACGTGTGTGGCATGATTCATGCAATACGGTTGAGTGTAAAAACCCTGAGAGCTATGAGGAAAGAAGTTATTATGTGTGTCTGTCATTGCTACATTTATCATGTTTTCCCAATGCTCCGGTAGTGAAGTGAGATGTGAGACAAGTTCTTGAGGCTTTACAGATTATTTCGGGAAATTATCGCCAAAACACCAAAATTTTATGTAAAAATCCTGCTCAGACTAGTGATGCCGTCGAGACTAGACGAGAATTATTTCGGAAAGATCATCACGGTCTTAAAAAAATCGACAGTTTAGAAATCGTCGTAATCTCGAAAGACACACTGATAGAATGATTAATTTATTCCAAACGAGAATCGTTAACTATTAACGAATGGTAGAGTTGAATATAACCAAATGAATATTTGTGAATAGTTAACGAATGGTTCACTTGAATGGCGAAAGTCAAGTAAAACACGGCTCCTCAAATATACATTCGTTAACTATTAACGAATGAACATTTGGTGGGACCGAATAGACCGTAACCTCCAACCAAAATCCATTCGTTATATAACAATAACTAGTCCGTTCTATCAGTGCAGTGGATCGGTGCATCTGGTCACGAATTTGGAAAAATTCATCTCGTCTGAGTTTCAGTATTTTCTGTTTTTCAAATGTTTGTCTCGACATCTGTCTCGTCTCGTCTCGTGAACTTAAAAAACCGGTGATTGTGAGGAGATCCACCGATCCAATGCCCTTCGAGATTGCGACGATTCCAAAACTTTCGATGTTTTTCCAGACCGTGATGATCTCTTCAAAATAATTCTCGACTAGTCTCGACGGCATCACTAGCTGACTGTAGTAATAATAACAGTAGTAATTCTCTTGAGAGTGACATTGAATCCGATTTAGGGGAAAAATGGGTATGAAATTTCCAGTCTTAGGTAGAATTCAAGGAAATTCGTGAGTTTTCAGTGGCAGAGAGACGAAAATTTTACAACTTGATTGAATTTTCAGTGGAATATGAGTAGTCAAAAACAAAATGCCATGAATTTTCAATTTTTCCCTGAATTTTTGATGGAATAATTGAACTGAAAAATCAAGTATTTTAATGATTTTCAAATTGTTCGAACAGAAAATCAATGAGTTGACTTAAACTGTTTTACCACTTCGCTACTGAATTTATTTAATAGAAAAAATCAGCCTAGTTAATGGAAAAAAAACTAGGGGAACTTATTTCGTAGAAAAAATCATTAGAATTCCATTTCCCTACGCAACATTTTTTATTGAGGCTCGTGGTTGAAATAATAAAGGCGTACTTAGCACGTAAAATGTGTTTACAATCGAGACTCAAATCGGCCAGAACCTTTCGGTCGGGAGCGTGAGAATTTAAATATCTTTTATTATGGTAGGTTCGGGAATTGTCCAGAATTTTCATGAGGGACAAGGACAGCGTGATGTTTGCCTCGAACGTAGCAGAATACAGAATATTCGAGCCGCATTATATGAATTTCGGAATAATAATTGATTGTGGCTCGTGCCACATTTTTTCCCCGCTATTTTTCTTCTTTTTCCATCAAAAAATCAAACGGAAAAAGTTGGGGAATTCGAGCAGAGGAATTTCTGTTGTGCACTATTATATGTCTGTCATTATTGGTTAGCGTGCACTGATAGAATGATTTATTTATTCCAAACGAGATTCGTTAACTATCAACGAATGAATATTTGGTGGGACCGAATAGACCCTAACCTCCAACCAAAATTCATTCGTTAACAATAACTAATCCGTTCTATCAGTGTGTAATGTTTTTTTAATGTTCCGGGAGGGAAATGTTAATTACGTGAAGACGTGAGATGTGTTCTTGAGGTTTTGAGGTATATCCCAAGACAATACCACCCAAAAGTTCGTCCCTGCGGATTTCCGGAAAAAATGGTAAATTACTTAATTCAGTAACGAAGTGGTAAACCGGTATAAGTCGATTTTGACTATTTGCCAGTTTTCAATAAATATCTCAGAATCCAAGGGAAGTAGCGAAATTGTTGTAATTTCCTTTTTTGTAGCTCTCAATTTGCTCTACAAAAAAGGTTATGACAAAAATTTTCCAATTTCCCTTAGATTTTGAGATATTCATTGAAAACTGGGCAATAGTCAAAATCGACTTACACCGGTTTACCACTTCACTACTGAATTTATTCCATTCTCTTAAGTTATTGAGTTTTTCCATCCTCATGTGTTGTGGATGAAGGCAGCGATAACTGTTTGAATCAAACAAAAATCTATTAGTTAACTAATTGTCTCAATCAAATAATAAAATGATTTCACAAGATTTCCATTTTTCAGAGATGAATATCGCAGAAACTGTGCACCAGAAAATTTTAGAAAAAATTCACCGTATTGGAAATTCATCAATTTACCGATTTATTTTTTAGATTTATTTTTTAATATCGTAAGATTCGTTTTCTTGAGTTTGAAAATTCAAGCTTTCATTGAAAAATCAATGATTCTTTAACATGAAAAACCCAATTTTCTTGAATTTTCAAGATGAATGAGAAATTTAGAGAACGTTTCCATTTAAAATTCAATTCAAACTCGCAACATTGAAAATTCAGATGACATTGTGACTGAAATTTCAAGAAATTTCTAACAGTGTAACAATTCTGCATTTTCACTTTAAATTAAATTCAATTTTGCAATATAGATAATTCAGATGCGGCTGTCTAACAGTGACTGAATGCAAAATGAGAAAAATGTCATTTAATACGAAAAATGATTTTTTTTTCACAGTCAGATTGTCCCTGCTCTTGACCCTCACCCTCTCGTCTGTGACCCTCGCCCTTCGGAATGGCGCACCACCTGATGCTTGTGGCCACCTGACTCCCCGTCATCCTGACACAACCGCGACTCAAAGTTATCCACCGTATCAGATACTTCCGGCTGCTGGACAAGGCAGAATTCGAGTGATTCTGGGCAGCCCTCAAGGACTCGCTTACCAGGGATTCATTATCAATGCTAGGAGTGCTGACACTGGAGAATATGTCGGCGAGTTCACCAATCTTCCGGACAACGTCAAGGCTATCGAGTGCACGCCCGGGCTCAAGGTAATTTTTCGCAAATAATCAAGTGAAACGATCAGCCAATTCTTCGTTTTGTCAAGGATATCCGAGTAGTTCGGCAAATTTTATTGGGGAAATCCTTTCCGGAGTTTGCAGAATAGACCGAGACTTTTTTTCGGCGCAACGCTAAACTTCGTTTCCCAACGTTTATTCGTGAAAACGATTTTTGAAAAATAAAATTCAACAGATTGCCTCAAGAGCTCACTGAGAGAAAAAATTTTCTCTGCCGAAAAACAATATGTTCCACTGGTTTTTATTTTTAGAATGGAGTTACTCACACAGACACCAGTGAAAAACACAACATTGAATTTGATTGGGAAGCACCCGCCGACTACGAAGGAATGATTATTTTCAAGTATGACTCATTTCCTTTATTATTTAATTTTATTTCGTATTCTTGAGAATACACTGAGAAAAATTTTCTAATATGCAGACCATATTTACTTGAGAGAAGTATATTATTTTCAATGGTTTAAATCTCAGAATGTTTGCAGTTCACGGAGCTCGAATGAATTCTCATTTATCACTATTATTGCCCATTATATCATGAATACATTACATATCGAAATATTGCATTTGCATAACAAAAAAAATCATGAAAACAATAAATACTTGAAGACTGATTTGACTGAGTTCATTTGCGACAAAATCATAATCGAGTACAAGAATATTTTAAAGCATGAGGCCTTTCTTCGGCCACGTGAGTTGAGATGCCTGTGAGAACCAAACAATTGAAGAAAAATTACTTGTCTCAAGAAAATATGTTTCAGATACTGGAAATTTTTTTTCTTAGTGTACATTCGCAGGAGAATGGATTTTTATAACAAAGGCATGAAGATTAGATTAAAAGATAGCAGTGTAAAATGAATTTTCGTTTATCATCAACAAAAAGAAAAAATAATTCTACTCTTCAGTAAACAATTCTGGAAATTAGTCAAATTGTCACTCATTATTTTGTTTTTTAAAATTAAAATAAGGGAAAAATTTCTCAATTCCAGGCAATTTTCCCTGGAAAATGACAAGCCTTTTCTATAGAATTTCTTCGGCTCAAATATTCCAAGTTTTTTTGTTCGCTTCCCTTCATAAAAAGAAAAGCAAAACAGAATTTAAAAAATGGAAAATTTGAGCCGAGAAAATTGTACATAAAAATCGAATTCTATTGACTTTTTCCACAGAATATTCCTACTGAAAATTTCAATAGAATTTAATAGAATTGTCCAGCGCAATTCCCTAGACATTTCTGATAAATTTAATGTGTTCCATTGATTTTTCCATCAGAATCAAAATTTTTTATGACAAAATTCCACGAAAATTTCCTGGAAATCCAAAAATCACCAAAAGGCCCTGAAGTTGAAGGACAAATTTAAATTTCTAATCCCAATATTCATTCCTCCAGCTCGACATTCGCTCAAGATTACAGTACGTACTGGGTGGGGATTGAATCGCCCCGGATAACTGTTTTGGGACGTAGCATAGAGGTGATGACATCGCCAACACCTCCACCAACAGAGAGACCAACGACACCGCCGTATTACGAGGCACCTGTGGCACCCGAAGTAAGTAGAAAGTAAATGGTCAAGCCCCGTATGGACCACTTCGGATTATACAACTTGGGTGGGTTTTATGGGGAGAAGAATGCAGAAAAACACATCTTAGAAGTGAAATGTCTCAAGGATAATCTATCATTGGTCCCACAAGGTTGGCCATCGTGGCTCAAGGTGAATTGCAGCCATTTACGTCACTCTGTGTGTCACTCATTCATATCTCTAGAGAGAGAAAATACATGTAGGAGACAATTGTAATCAAATTTTGATGATCTCTACTGCGTAATCCTGACAGAGATGATATTGGGACTTTAAAATCGGTTTTAAGAGCTTTTCTCTCAATTAAATTCCCCAGATAGATTAACGAATTAATTAATTAATTATATTATTAATTCCTACAATTAATTAATAATAATAATATAATTAATTAATAGTTAATAGTAGTTTTCACGTGTCTGAAGAAGTTTTCATAATTTCCTATAACTCTTCCATCTAGAGAAAATAAATCAGTCAGTTAATCAATTGACTGATTAATGACTTGATAGATTAACGAATTAATTAATTGATCATAGCAATCGTCATTAATAATAATTAATATGCCTGTAACTCTTTCATCCAGCGAAAATTATCTCCTCTCCCAAACCCAATGCAGAACTAAAAATTAAAAAAAGGGGGAAAATGTTTGTAAACTATTCGGTCATTAATATCTCGAGAGAGAAAATAAATGTAGAAGGTCACTGTAATCAGATCTTGATAATATCGCGTAATTATGACGGAAGTGACATTGTAACTTTTAATCAGGTCTTGAGAATGTTACATTTCCCTCACAGCAAAAACTAACGCCTCAATTTCCCCTCCCCTAGACATTTTTCAGTAATTAAAGAGTGAAGTTGAAATTATTAATGCCGATTATTGTAATTGATCTATCAATTTGTTCATCAATTCACGAATTAGCGGAGTAGATAATTGATTACAGGAATCATCATTAATAATAGTTTTCACGTGTCCAAAGAAGTTTTCATGATTGCCCGTAACTGTTTCATTCGGAGAAAATTATCTCCTTTCCCGAACACGGGAAGAGATAAAAATGTGGAGAAATGCTCTTGTGTATGAAATATTCCTTCTAGGGATACAGCAACAGCCATCAAAGTTTTCAAAACGTCCTCGAGACGTAAAGGAGACCATAAACCGAGGTATTTCATTTTAAAATGAGATTCGTTTGATAGTTTCCGAGGAGATATTTCTACATTTATGAAAACTCATCCCTCAGAGCATCTCCGAAAGTTTCGAGCCATTTCAATTCCATTGAAATTCATACGTGAATTTTTGATTCACCCCTCGACACACGAAATTTTCATTCATACATTTTCCCCTCCCCGGAGTTTGGAAATTTTTCTCAATTGCTTTCACGTCAAAAATGGAGGCTCAGGGTGAAATGCCATCGCTGGAAATATGGTAGCTGAGATTTTGAATAAGTATCAATGGAAGTGGGTCAAGAAGTTCGGTATGAATTTAAACTTCAGGTATTGGTAACGTATGTTACGCGGCTAAACGATTTTTCCATTTCACGAAATGAGTAAAAAAATTCGCGGTGTCATTTTTTGTGGATTTCTCAAAAACTAGTGGTTGTAGGAAAAAATGTCAGAAAGTCTTTTGTGCAGCCCATAAAATTCTCTACAAAAAATGTCCTCTAATGAATTTCTCCCAGTACATTATTTTCAGAGATATTTCAAGACAAATTGATTGCAACTTATTTCGAAATGATTTTCAAGGAGCAAGTGTTCAAGTTGACATAATAATATTTTGTTTCCACTCAATGACTTCATAAAAAGTCTCACAATTATACAATCATTGAATTATTTACAGTGGGGTAATTCCTAAGAACATGATACTCTGTTGAAGATATCACTTAAAATAATTTCCTTGAACAAGTCATTAAATCCCAGTCACAAATGCTTTTCCCACTGTATTAAATCATCAAAAAAAATGTACAATTACGAGACAACAAAATTATCCACTGAATTACGAGTATTTCTAATGAGACAGTAATGATTGCTCGTTAAACGGGAGCTCGTTGATTAGATCGTTAATAAGATGTTGAAATCATTTTTTTTCAACACTTGTACACTCTGCACTGATGCCGCACTCATAATTTTTGCATTTTCCTTATACTCGATTGCTCATACTGCTCAGACTCCCATATATGATGCTCATAAGGCCCAGATTCTTGTGCTTGATGCTCCCCTGACTCAAAATGGCCAATTTGACGCTCATAATTCTCGAACTGTTGTAGAGTCGACATCTACAAGACTCAAGCTCATATTTTCAATGCTCATACGGCTCAAAACTTTGTATTTCGCGCTCATAAGGCTCAAACTGCCATATTTTCGATGCTCAGAGGAGGCAAACTCTGATAATCAACACACGTAGAGCTCAAATATCTATACTCAGCGCTCACACGCGCTCCAAACACTCCTCACATCGCACCTCAATTTCAAAACCATCGTTTTTATTCAGTCTATATATTCTGAGTCATCTTCTTTTTCGCTGTCTCTTCTCGCTCCTACCCCATTCATTTAAAAACCCATAATTAACCTCAAAAACTCAATCCTTCCAGAGCAACGAGGCCCTAGCACAGAAGCGTGCCATTTACACCGGCTGCGGTACCACGAAATCCTGTTTCGGTGTTCCAAGCAACTGCGTCGACTCCCAGGACTGCAAAGCGGTCGTCACCGTCTCCGTCCAAGGTGAGCGCTACATCTTCGAGCTCCAAGGCGAAGGCGGCAAGTACGTGGCTGTGGGTCTCTCCGAGGATGCGAAAATGGGTGACGACAGTGTCGTCGAGTGCGTCGAGAACTCCGGGAAAATTTTCATCCACCACTCGTGGAATACCGGCCACAAAAATGACCGCTTGCCGTCGCAATCCGGAATACTGAATCTCGAGCACAGCAGCTTTGTGGACAACAGAATCTACTGCAAGTTCACCCGCGAGCGGAGGACCGTCATTAAGGGCCACGAATTCGACATCGAGAATAAGGCTTATCACCTTCTCATAGCTATGGGCAAGGATCTCAAACAAAATGGCGTTGGCTACCATAATCTGCGAGAAGCGTCTGCTGAGGCGAGACGTCTGTCGGACGTAGCTAGGATTGCAGCAACTGACGACGTACTTATCCGTGTTCACGGGGCCCTGATGATCGCTTCCTGGATTGGAACAGCTTCCGTTGGTATCCTGATGGCTAGGTACTACAAGCAAACATGGCTGCGGTCGTCGCTCTGCGGTAAGGACCAGTGGTTTGCGTGGCATCGATTCTTCATGATCCTGACTTGGGCCATGACTATCGCCGGATTCGTCGTCATCTTCGTGGAAATTGGCACCTGGAGTTCTGCCACTGTTCACGCGTCCTTGGGCGTTGTGACGACAGCTCTTGCGTTTATTCAGCCCTTCATGGCGGCGTTGAGACCCCATCCTGGCACTCCTCGGCGGCCATTGTTCAACTGGGCCCATTGGTTCGTTGGCAATGCTGCGCACATCTGCGCGATCGTCGCGTTGTTCTTCGCTGTGAGGTTAACTAAAGCAAAGATACCGGACTGGGTTGACTATGTGCTCGCAGCGTACGTTGTCTTCCATGTTGTGACGCATATTGTGTTGTCATTCGCTGGGTGTGCCTCGGACAGGCAGGACAGCCAGAGGATCAATGCCTTTCCCATGAAGGATCTTCAGAGGGGCTCCATGGGACATCCTGACGCCAGACGGGACGCCCCATTGGCTGCCATGAGGAAATCCATATTCGCCATTTATTTTATTGTTATTGCTGTGTTTGTCGCGGCGCTGGTAGTGATTGTTGTTTTGGCGCCCATCGAAGATTCGTGGGCCAAGTTTACGGATAATTTTTGAAGAGGTTGGATGATGTTGGGGAATCTTGAGCGGAAAATTCGTGATTCTGAGCGAGTGGGAGAATATGCGAGTTTTTTGGAGGCGGGTTATCTCTGAATAGAGAGGGGTTTGAGAGAAATATCGTGAGGACTTTTTGTGGGGAATTTCATGAGCTATACAAAAGGTGTTGGTATTTTTCGAGAAACTCATCAGCTATAAAGATATTTTCAAAATTATTTGAACGGTAATTTTTGGCAAATTTGTCGGTAATTGTTAGATTCTCTCAGAAAGGAGTAGTTTTTCTTGAAAATGTCACAGAACCCTTCTCATGAAGGAGAAAATTCATTACAAAAAAAATTCCTCACATTCTTTCTCAGATAACTCATTACCGATTTAATTGACAAATTAACGAAGAATTATTTCGCAACAGCAGTCGCCTCAATATTCGCAATCAAATGATATTTATGTATAACACTTGTTCGTTAATTGAAATGATTGATTATGGGATTTAATTGGTCTTTAGGACAACAGAAAATTGAAATCACGATTGATGGAGCAAGTCATTTGAATTTGAGCGGATTTTCATCTCACTGATTTCCCAATTACTCTGTGTACATATCGAATTGGTGGCCTACAAATTGTTTAAAAGTGATGCCTACAAATTGTTTAAGAGTGTAGAATCATTAATTGAGAGATGAATTTTATTGAAAGATAAGTTATGAGCGACGGAAGTTGGACCTCCGAATGGTGCATTTACTTAAATCTGTCTTTCCGCGAGTTGTTCTGTTACTGAGGGTAATCACAGCAACTACGCTGGTTGCTGAACATCTACCTGATATTAACTTTCGTACTTTTATGTGCTATATGTATGACGTAACAATAGTTTTTATATTTAATTGATTAAATTTATTGATTCAGCTGAGGATTTCGGTGATTTTGATTACTGTATTGAGTATTTTCATTTAATTCTGCAGTATTAGTTCATTTTTTGAGAAGCTTGTGAGGATTTACTTGATGTTCGAGTGGATTGAGTGGAATTGTCGAAGGATTTATACGAAATTTATCAAATAGAAATAAATGATTTGGTTTATTACTTGAAGTTTTATGAAGGTTTATTACTCGAGGCGAAATACAGGCGGCAAATATTCTACTCATCGGGCGAACACGTGGCGAGGGACGGAGTCGAGGCGTAATATTGGGCCAGGACGAGTGATTAGAGTGAGTGTGCACACATAACATATTGTCATTGGTGCGACGGGGTCATTAGCGAGTACGAGAGCATTTTGGAGTTCATTGAAGCTCCTGTCAGCTTCCCTGGTAGGAGGAATCCCGTTGCGAACGGACAATTAAGCTACAGATAATATTGGGACAAATTAATTGGCATTGAATAGGGATTATTCTACTTATTTATCATTCGGACTTAGTATTGTATTCTTCATCTTTTTCTTTTGTCTGATTGTTCTCCGGAGGCTCAAGTGAAAGATATCGTGGCTAGTATCGCGGATAACAGGCATTTGGGAAGCCCAGGCGGTGTCTACGGACCTGCTCACCGTACATTTACCATTGAGAAATTAATAAATGAACAACTGAGCCTCTTCAGTGTTTCTCCGGATAGCAATTCAACAAATATCTTTGGTTCATAATTCTTTTGGACTGTATCGAATTGGGTGAACTGGAATTTCCGGCATTTTGTATTATTATTATTATCATTTTTGATTATTCTTCTTTCTTTTATTTTTCTTATTGAACGATAGCATTATTTAATTTCTATTGTTCTTATTCTGGGGGACGACCCGCATTTATGGAATTCCTTTGTTTTTCTCTTCTAAAATTATTTTATATCAAGTCTTGAGAATATAGACCTATCAGTTAGTCAATAATCTTTCCAGTTACTGAACAATATCCTCTCTTCCAAAGATATAGAGTAAATAAATTAGATCAAGCACGAGCACACCGGACAACAAATAGGTAACGGTGTACATTGCACTGCGTGCGTCTAAATGGTGAAAAGTTCTCAGGAAAGTATTGTTTACGAATTATTTCCTTTATCATTGAGGATCATCTCAAGTTTACCGCAGTAGCCGGAATAAATATATTTTGAATATTCGATAGATTAAAGAATTTACGTCGATTGTCACTTGTTGTCTCAACACGCACCTTTTCACATTGCCTGATATTTTAGAAATATCAGACAATGTCACAACATTTTCACGCATTAGTTTTTTAATAAAAATTGGAAAACATAGCAATTTTCTTGAAGACATTGCATTTTATGCTACACAAAAGTAATTATCTCAAGAATAATTCATTCCCTCCGTTCCTACCGGAAAATCATCCCCTCCGAAGAGTCTTTACACATGTCCTAAGCCCCGCACCCGGGCGAAAACCCCATAATGACCACATCCCCACACCAGCTCAATCCCCGAAAAATCTCCAATTCCACGAGCATATCTCGGAACCTCCCCCCCCTCACACGCCACCCCGTCTTCAATTTTCCGCGTCCACCCCCTCAAATATCCGAAAAAACAAAACTCCAACCTTCCAGATCTCGCCAGTCATCCCTTTAATTCGAGGTCAGCTCTACACTTCCACCTGGCTCTACGTCTCTCCACGCTGTACCCACGGGTCAAACACAGCTCTCGGGGTAGTAACCGCGCGCATCATCCCCCAAAATGGCGTCCGATCGAAGGCTCAATGCGTGCACCCATACATCGTCACGCGTTTTTACCCCCCGCCGATGCCATAAAACATCGACTTGCACTCGTGTGCGGCGGGGGAATTGCGTTGGAGTACGCAGAGGGTTGTGAGCAGCGTTGACTGGCGCCACTGTCGCCGTTATCCCCCCCCCCCTCCAACGGCGCGCTCAAGACTCTCGAGAGCAGCAGTTCGATTGGAGACACCGGCCGGCGTTCACGTACGTCTCTCGTACATTACCGCAACTCCAGGAGTAATTCAACGCGAATTGCCCTCGTACCCGTCATCAATTACTCCTGATAGATGTCTTACGTGCTATCCTCACCTACTGAACCGAAATTTTATCGCGAGTTCAAATAGTGAGGAGCCAGTGGATGAGGAACTCTTACTGTGATATTTATTGATTCTGTGTCGCACTGTGGATTCGGTTATTTGGGTTTAACGTTTTTGTGAAATTAGGATATTGTGATGTGGCGGTGATAACACGCTTCTGGATGACAAGTCGATGGATACATGTTGAATTTTAAGGAGGAACAGCGGGGCGGAAGGGGGGTGGTGGGTTTTACCTTAACGATAATGTATATTTCGGTGGGAAGGTGAGGGGAGGTTTGGGGGTTGAGGATTTGGGGAGAGAGAATTTCGATTTTTTTGTTTTGATTGGAAATATCTTGGGAATTACGGTGTCTAGCAGAAAATTTCTGAAAAACATTTTTCATGGGGATTTTCGCGAGCTTAAAAAAGGTACTCTGTTGTTTTGTGATTAGTCCGACGGTTTGAGAGATGAGGGATAATTATGAGCACGGTTTTTGGGAGTGGAAAATATTTTTTATGGAGCATTCCAAGAACTGCAGAAAGGTCATTTATTATTTTTGAAAAACCCAGTGATGCGAGAAATATTCGCAGAATAATCACAACACGATTTTTTACCTTTGCCATTTTTCATTCTCGTTGGATTACCTCGACAGCCCGTGGGTTTAGGAGAAAATGTCAAAAAACATTTTCTATGGAGAACTTCTTAATCTACAAACAAGGTCTTTTGGCGTTTTTCGATAAACCCACTCGTTCATTAAATATTAGCAAAATAATAAAAACGCCATTTTCGTTGCTCTTTATTTTTCATGGTTTGTTTTACTTTACATTTTCCCGATTATCTCAGTAACGATCACTGCACCATAAAATCGTCACAGAATCTTTTTTGCAGCTCATGAAATTCCCCACAAAAAATATTTTACGACATTCCATCCTAAAACCACTCATTCCCTCGATATTTCCACAACAACTTGAAAAAAAAAATCGAAATAATCATCATTCCTCCACGTCGTCGCAAGATTATTGTTACCCCCGTTTCATTGGTTATTAAATCTCCATAAATTCCCAACAATCCCCGAAAACCCCACAAAGCACTCATCCCATCAGCCCTCAAACGTCTCACTCAATTTTCCACTCCACTAGAAATTCATGAAGTCGAATCACCGGTTAAATATCCCCGGGAATTGATTCCAAAGATGTGCTAAATGCCAATGATCACTGAAGAGTGGATTCGATGGAGATGAGGCGATAGTATATAGATTTGACATTATCGCTTTGACTATTTTATCTCGCTCCACTGTACCATCTCCAGAGGGCTTCCGGTTCAAGATTGTCTAAGATTAGTTTTTCCGATACTCTGGGCACGAGAGTCAATAGAAAACGGGTATATAAGTGATGGGGACAGCGTCAGTCTGTGAAAGTGGAGTTTCAAAGCACATGCCCTCGATACTGTAGTACAATGCTCAATGCATTCTGTTCTATTTCAATGGTTAATGTACTATATTGAGGAGTATGAAGTGTATGAAATAGAATAAGGTGAATGGGATGAGAGCTAATATATTTTTCGGGTAAATATAATTCGTTCTACAGAGTTATTACACGAGGCTACGGTTTTATCAAATGAACGGTATTGACTACTGTATATAATTGTCCAATAAACACTTATAATTTCCGTGGAACAAATGATAATTTCGAGGGGAAATTTTTTTTTGGGAAAAAATATTCTTTCTATGGTATAAACCTGGGGAGTTCTCTCAGATCAAACGATTGTCGTACAGTAGATTATATTTTTTGCTGAATCGGTTCGAATTTTTCTAGGGATACTAGGGGACTGGGTGTAGTCCTGCTCTCTCCCCTCGCCGCCTCCCATTTGACCCCAATGATCCTTATTCTGACCCTCGTGACCCTTATTTTGACCCTTGCCACCCTTATGCGAACCCTCATGACCCTTATTTTGACCCTCTCGACTCTGATTTCGACCCATGCGACCCTTAGTTTCTCACCCCCATGACCCTTATTTAGACCCTTAATCTGACCCTTATTTGGATCCTTAATCTGAAACTCATTATAACCCTTGTGACTTGTTTTGACCTTGGTGACCCTCGTGACCCTCAATCTGACCGTTGTCACCCTTATGCGAACCTTCATGACCCTCTCAACCCTTGCGACCTTCAATTTTGAAGTCTCCAATTCGAGTACCAAAATTTTATCACCAGAAGTCGATTTGGATTTTTATAATACCGAAATTTCTAATGATCACGACAAAAATTTAATTTTTGTGAAAGATATTAAATTTCCTTTCATCAAGTTTGTCAATTTCCCTCAAGTAAATCTGTTCCACTCCATTAAATATTCTTACATGGAACACAGTTTTTCGACAGAGCTAATTTTTCCTCTCAGTGTGTCCTCAAAATAATAATGAACGGCCAAATCCTCTTTAGGGTCAATTGTAAAGACGACTGGAGTATTTTTCATAATCCAAGAAATTCTACTTGAAATATCTCCCAAATATCCCACCAAAAGCACTCCCAAGACACCCCAAAAACCCTGCACTCATAATTTTTAATTAGTCCACCAATGCCACCACTACTGAATCCACGATTTATGATCATTGTTGCCATAAATAATTAATCCGCAAAACGTTTCACATGCTGGAGTCTACGTTTCCTGAATAATTCTTCCCCCCTCGAAAATGAATTTTTAATGCTCATAAATATCGCCCCCGAATCCCTGCATCAGAGATGTAATAGAAATGTTGGGAAATTCCAGAAAGCAACGGGGGTAAACAGTGACAATAATTGCTGTTTGTCGCAGATAATTCGTGGAGTGAAACGCATGCGTACAAAAAGAATAATTAACGTGAGTGTTTGTGCGTGTTGAACGATGGCGGGACAGTACTATGTGATCATTCTATTGGGATTGATGGACCTGGTGGTCTCCCAGAACTCAATCGATGAGCGGACAACCTTTGAAGCTGCATTTCAAGGTAATTTTCGTGTTTACTGACATTTAAGGTATATCCCTGGAAAATGGGCTTTTTTACGGTGTACCATGTTGTTCATAGAGAATGGAGAATGGCTATAATGCTAGAAGTTCGAATTTGATGAGATTCAAATGAAAGCGCTAAAGAAAAATGTACCTCACTAGCATCCGAGGAATTACAAATGACCGCAAAACTGAATAAAAATTCATCCAATCAATGTTTATGCCATTCTGCAGCTGTTGAAAAAATTCTATCTACCAATGTTTCGATATGTAATATATTCATGATATAACCGGAACGACAGTGAATTCGGCGAATTCATCCGAGAATTTATTCAACATAATTTACTTCTCTCAAGTAAACATGGTCTACATATTACGAAATTTTTTGCTCTGTGTAGGGAATTCGGATGATCCGTCTGATCCTGTTTGTCCCATTTCTCCCCATTCTAGCTGAATGACAGATCATTATCTCATCCTGAAACATTTCAAACCCTCGAAACCTGAAACAAATCACTCGAGTCATGAATTCCCACTTGAAAAAACTTGTTCCCCTAATTGAAACAAAACATTCCGCTCGACTATCCATTTTTTTTTCACCTGTTATTCCATTCAAGCCCGTTTAATTGTCTCGGTGAGTATGATGAAGTGACATCTCCAACAATAAACAAAACAGAAAAAATACTCGAACACAGGGTTCTCCCCTGTTCCCTTCGATCCTCTGAATCCATAAAAACTTTAAAGTATATCCTGAGACAATATTACCCAAAAGTTAGTGCCAATGGATTTCCGGAAAATTTTTTAAATGACTCAATTTATTGCATTCTCACAAGTTATTGAATTTTTCCATCCTCATATGTTGTTGATGAAGGCAACAATAACCGTTTGAATTAAATAAGAAATTATTTGCTAATTAATTATTTAAATCTAACCAAAAATGATTCCACGAAATTTTTTGGACTTCAAAATCGCAGAAACTATGTAGACTGTTAAAATTTTTTATTATAAATATTATTTTTATTTATATTTTTTATTATTATTATTTTTATATTTTTTATCGAATTTAATTACA